CAAAGAGCTTTTCCTGTTTCCTTCTTCCCTCTCTTTTAAAAAATAATGTCACTTTGGACTCATGAATTATTTTTTTTAAATTCAGTATAATATACTACTGTAATTATTACTTTTGTTACTCTAATTGTCCCAAATTTGGCAGGTGTTAGCCCCTTCAAACTGGCTCCTGTGACTTGCCGCAATAGTTGTTGAGTACTTTCTTGTTTTTGGTACCACAAGATGTTCCAGCCTAACCTTATATTTCCTTGCCCTGGCTTGGGACTATATATATATCTATGTGTATATATATATATATTGTTGAGACAGAGTCTCACTCCGTTCCCCTGAGTAGAGTGCAGTGGCGTCAGCCTAGCTCACAGCAACCTCAAACTCCTGGGCTCAAGTGATCCCCCTGCCTCAGCCTCCCGAGTAGCTGGGACTGCAGGCATGCGCCACCACGCCCAGCTCATTTTTCTATTTTTAGTAGAGACGGGTTCTCGCTCTTGCTCAGGCTGGTCTGGAACTCCTGACCTCAAGCAATCCTCCCACCTTGGCCTCCCAAAGTGCTAAGATTACAGGCGTGAGCCACCATGCCCTCGTGTGAGGGCATGGTAGCTAACGTGTGTATGAGATCCTATATACCAAGAATGTGCGTGTAGTTTTAATTATGCTGCAGTGTATAATCTGGTGTGTTATTTAAACAGCACTAGTACTGTACACTGGTTTTCCCCTTGTGTTTGCTGTTGCACATTGATTGCTAAGGGTGCATCAATTATAAGCATTGAATACTCCATCCCTTTCCCTCCCAGTGAATGGGATGAGAAAAGCCTTCTTCCTTTGCTTCAGGCAGCTGTCACCTTCTCTTTATTGGTGGTCCTAAGTTGGTCACTTAAGAAAAAAAGTGCAACAGATTCTCACTCCATGTATCTGATTTTTTTATTCTGTTGTGAAAAATTTTTAAATCTCCAACTTGCTGTTTGTGCAATGAATTTTTATTTTTAATCCCTGTGCCCAATTTTGGAGTTGAGAGGGTTGTTGGTAATAAATGTATGATGTACACTTAAAAAAAAAAAATGCCCAGCCCAGCCATACATATTTTTAAAATCTTGAGTTCATACTGATACCTCTACCTTGAATCTGATACCATAAGTCTCTTTCTTACCTTCCCACGTTCCATATTCTGTCTCCCTACGCCAGCAGTGAGAACCATGTTCCCC